ATACAACATTTCAATACGGCGGGCTCTGTGAGGACCTTATGTCTTAGTCTAAGTAAAAATAAATAGAACACATTAAAATTGAATTGCTGTCAGAATCCGATAATAGGTAAGGATTACGGCATTGAATAATCACTCAATGGTTACGGGAGCTTTACCAACTACCTTATATATTATTAAGGTATTTGGTTTTACATAGGTCTACTAATATGAACCAAAAAGTTCATGGTGTGTCAATTGTCTAGATCCTATTTTTTATTATTTTGACATTTGGCAACAATATCCAATTCACAAATGTTCAATTTTAATGCAACAACGCAGAGTTTCTTGTGCTGATTGGTCGCTAGTTTTAAAAATACGGATGCTGATATTTTTAATTCATATAAAGTACGATTGGCTTTTACCTTATGAATAGCGTCTATTGATTCAGCGAGAGTTGGTTGAACCCGGTCGATGTCGTGCCTTGGAAATTTTCTGTGACACCAATTGTTGACGGTGATGGCCAACTGCTGCTTGTTGGAATTCTGTCGCCCTCCTCTTCCAAGTGTAGGTACTCCAGTTACTCGATTGATATTTTAATAGTCGTCACTGTTCCTTGGTGGAAATTTTGGAAAAACAAACGCCAGCGGAAAACAAAACACAAAGCCATTAAACAAAACGCTTGCTTTGGCTGTTCGTAATTTAATTTGATAGTTCGTAAGCTCTCTTAAGAATTTCGGTTTACGAGGATGTCACTATTAGTAATTTTTCCACTTTAATATTTGCACGTGAAGTGAAAATAATGACGCAATTTCTCCCGCTCTGCGTAATACGATTAACCGGTAATAGATCTAATATGTACTTGCTCTTTGATTTACACTCTGGGTACTCTGGCCCTAAACGACACTAGTTCTAGTCAACCTTTCTAAAATACTTATAAATGGTGCACGTTAATCTACAAAAATCATAAACACTTCATCACAACATGCACCCCGTACTGAACTTTCCGCTGATATTATTTCCACCTTCTCCTCCGGTCAAAGTCCATTCTCTTTATTCTAAATTTAAACTTACAACAATTTATGTTCAGTAAAGTTAATCAGTGGGTTACAATATTTTATGATTTTAGTCCCAGGCCCAAAAGCATTATGCGTAACTAAAAAATTCATCCCATTACACAGCGCTTCACTTCCTACGAAAATGTGGAAAACTGACTCGACCAATTCAGAATTTCTTTGACGAGACATCCACAAGTTGCACGAGAGATGGGACAAAAATTGTACCTAACAATGGTCATTACTTTGAATAAAATAACATCGAATTTTGGAAAAAAATTGGTCTAAGATTGGTTCTTAATCTGTAACGGGAACCATTTAATAGGGTGTGATTGTTTTATGTATTTGGTAGAAGAAAGTATACAGGATGTTTCCATTATGGCGTTTATCAGCCCAAAATTTTAGTAAATGTAGAATTTTAGGGTAATAGATCTGGATAAAGTTGGCGATCTTTAATTTTTATATACGTCGTGTCTGTTATTGGATTTAGGAAATTATTAGTGTCGGTCTGGTGGTCTTTAGATAAAGCAGTCCTAATAAGGCTTAAATAACGAAAGTTACAATTACGATGTCTCACAGTGAATCCCAGGAAAATGCAAAAGTAAAAGGTCGTGGGATTATATTGAATGTTCCTACCACTTACGTAATTCGTGTATACAAACGAATCAGAGCTTATGGTTAAAAATGGCCAATTTCATTAATAAGGCGCAATTTTCGTGAACTAATTAGATAGCCGAGTGGCGCGTTCGGATGGCGAGGAAATCTGCCAATGACATATAAATAAACTGCGTAAAGTGCGTAACACAATTTTTAACGCGTGGGAGAATAATTCCTATTTCAATACGTCCGTATTATCAATTTTACAGGATTATATCTCTCGCCTACGCAGTTTTTCGTGTCCTATAGTTTTCCCTTAATCCCTTTAGTTTTCTTTCAGGTATCTGCGGCAATTATGTAGTATTTTCATTAAAATCCTTTGAAACTGGTAATGCACGAGAACGTGTATCGTCTAGTAGGCACTCTAAGCAGTATCATGGGGGCTATGATAATGGGTATTCCAAAACTGGGCAGTTCTCCAGGCTCCCTTATATATTCTACAACACTCTTTTATTACGTTCATCTCTAGGGTAATGTTAAACGTAATTTAGGTTGTATTATTTGCGGTCTGTATGGGAAATGGTCAGAAGGGCTCAATAGCGACGTGCGCGTAGGATTCTTATGGCAATGGCAATGTGTAAAATTCTTCCTGGTTCGATCCTAGGTAAGAAATTATAGGTAGCAAGTTATTGAAGCAAAATATTAGTACGTATAGTTTGATTTATAATTTTTTATAATTTAATTTTACTTGATTCTTTGTGTTAACAATGAATGTTTAAATGTTGTCATTCAAAGATGCTGTTGCCTATTCTTTTTGTCTAGGCAAGGTAGAAATCCCAATTCAGCATTCAAGATTTTAAATTATAGCACCAATATATACCTACTTATAAAAATAGGACAGTAATTTCATTAATTATGTATATTTCTATAGTGGTTTTACTTTTAAATGAGGGGGTCCGTAGATTCTTTAATGTAAATTAATGGCTTTCCATTGCGCTGTTCCTGTTAATAATTAATATTGTAGGGCTAATTGCACTTATACATTTGTAAGTTCAGATTTCATTGCCGAGAACGTACGGACTTTCGCAGTCATTAATGCTAGTGTCCACTAGGAAGGTGAGTGCTTTTTCAATTTCAACTTTTAAATACTACTTACTAGCACATTGCATAGTGTTCGTAACTTGATGAACTATTTTCGCTATTTCTAATATTACTAGCACGCAGTTGGGTAAATAAAAGTTTGCGTGTCAATAAACACAATTTTTACTCATTTTCAAATCTCCAATTTTAACCTAATACAACACGACACAATAGGGTTCTGCGTTAGCAACGTTGTCAGATTTCTGATAGTAGTTCGGGTTTTCTGCGCTTGCTGTCTCTTAGAGTTGCGATGAGTTAGTAATTTTTACATTAACAGTATTTTTCAGTCATTTAACCAAAATGGTAAACCGATATTTTGGAAAAATCCGTCTACTAACTAACGCCAATTATACCTCTTAAGATGAAGATCTGATAGTCAACCGCAGATAGTGTCCTCAATAGCAATGTATAATCATCCACAGTGTGATAAGGATTTAGAACGATAGTCAGATCTATTTCTTCTTTATAAGGAAAAAATGGTACTTCACCCGCGAATTTGTGGTTGAAAACACAAGCTTTAGCCCTTTGGCTAGTAGTGTGTGGGTTTATTAACGTACATTTAAAGTTCTCTGGTCTGAATCTGAATTCTAAATAACCTACATTCTCAAATTTAAAATAATGAATATATTTAGATACGCACCTTTTAATTCACAATTTCATAAGAAGGAAAAAGTACCACAATATTACGAACCCTTGAATTTGGCTGATTGATTATTAAAATTATGCTATAAAATTTAAATTCGTGAACCAAACATAAATCTTGAAATCCAAACCAAATTCAATATGTTCGTCAGTTTACGCGTTACTATTTCTATCAAAAATTTAAATTTGCTTGAATCCGTACGTTAGATTTTCTATAAATGAGACCGATTGAACTTAATTTATCCAGGTTTGCAATTTTAAACTTAAATAATTCAAAATTACTCGTACGATTTAATTTATAATAGTAGTCCTACCTATATGTACACTACAGGAACAAAGTGGGTCTGAGTGTCTCGGATAAAAACACTCCACGCTTAAAATCTTTAAGGCCCATTGTGTAATGGAATCATTTTCAAAAGAAGAATCGGGGCTAAAATGGCAAACGATTATCCCTGTCACAAGAACCATATTACCAAACAGCAGCAAGTCATTTGATAATTTTTCTATTTTCACACGGTGTATGTGGAGTATGGAGTATGTGGACTACTAGGAGATGCCTAACGTTAACACCCTCAAAAGTCCTGCCTTATGTCTTCCGTCTTCCTATATTTGGATTTCGGTGACTAAAATAGTGTTTTTTTACAGGGGGGAAAAGCGTTGACTGCTCTAAATTCAACCTCTTTTCTCCTTGCATAATGATATCCATTTATAAAAATTATGTTCGGGGGGTTCTATTACCATACTTCCAAATTGGGTGAATTTTTGGAAAGCGCCTCAACAGGCCAATTAACTTATAAATTATACAATCGCGCTGTGAATTAGCAAATATCAAAAAATAATTGTCTTCCTATTTAGAATTCAAATCTAAGATCATCGCCGGCTTATTAATGACATGTTGTATACTATTAAAGTAATATCTTGATATGTTTGCTTTTAATTATTCATGAATTCCCTCTTCTTAACGGAACGAGTTATGATACAGCGAACTAATTGGGCGGCTATAATGCAATATTACAAACTGATATAATTACTAAACGTGTAATGTCTATTAATTAGAATAATGGGCCTTGAATTATAATGCCATTTATTGTGCTTCCCTTGACTAATTATCGTTCAAAGTGGCTACGAAAATTGGAAAGTGCTTTGTTGTGTGGTATCATCATACAAACAAGGAAGGTAACGCACGTTTTGTAGTTTCGTGCAAATACGGTCGTTTGCATAAATAAATAAGATATTAAATTATTGTGTTCCACTATTAAACAGTGGGGCTACAATTTGATGCTTTCAAGGCTCGCGTTATGTAAGACTTTCTATCCCGAACAGTCTTGAGATATCTTAATAAATCTTCAAGTTGGTGATAAATTTTCACTAATTTCATTCAGATATTGCTAAAATTTAACATTATCATAATCAATCCTTATGGGACAAGTTATTATTATATTTTTTACCTTTCGGCCATAAATCACCTTACTCGTTTCTACATTTTATTCAAGAACGGGAATCGCAATGTAAATTTACTCTAAAACGCCGTTTTAGCAGTGGAATAATTTGTGCTTTAGCGTACAGTGAAAGCTTCTGGTAACAGTTTGACGAAATGGATATTTTTGGATAGTGGAACGGATCCTTTCGACGGTTAGCATTAAAAATTTATAAAATAATTACATCATAAAGTTGTAACCTGATACTCTTGTATTCGGTATGATATAGTTGTGCTTGACATTTTAACTAAGATGCATGTCTTATGAGGTGACCGGCGCAGGTCATAGGTCAAGACATGAACTGGTAACTTAAATGCGTTAACGTTTCATTACTTTTACAACGTAATTATTTTTCATCTTGTCGCCGCTATTCTCCGCATATACTTATAGGACGTTCTTGAGTAGCTCGCCACTGGAATGAACTACACCTTACAATCTCAGCGGTTTAACGAATTCAACAAATTTTTGTGGATCATGCAAAAATACATAAAAAACTGGGACACGTGGAAGGTAAGAAATAAATTCGGTATACCCTCACAGATTTTTTCACAGTTTTGTTCGCATTAAAAAAATGTTTTTGCAAATGAGATCGCTCTTTCCCATGCATACAATTGCTATGGAATGTTTAATTATCTGAAGGGTTGATATAGCCCTTTGAAGTCAATGAGGCCTTTAGTACGTAGATGTCTAGTTAGGTAGAAGAATTGTTTAAGTATATTTGAGGTCCTTGGATGAATTATTTACCCCGATTCTTGTTTTGGGTTTTAGGGGTCTAGTGTTCCACATTATGTCTAATCGATGTGTCGAGGTTTCTGATTAATAAAATCAATAAATGGATTAAAGGTACTGTTTCTGTTTGTACTTATTAAAAACATTTAACAGCGTAATGTCTTATACAGATTCTGTTTCAGGAATGTTTTAAGCAAATAGGATCATTGCACTTATTTTCACCCTAAAACGCACTAATGCGGTAAATTATGTAAACAATTTTTATTTCTGCAGGTTTTTATATCGCTTCCCTGGCCATACGGATTTGGTTTCATTGTATAAGAGGATTTCCCTTAGTTTGCGCGCACTTCATCGGTGTATTATGACGTCATTACAAAGTATGTTTACATAGGATTATTAGAACAATGGAAGAGAATACGTATGTAGGCAGCAATGCAGACAGTGGTGCATTGTGGGTAGGATACCCATTACATCAACGACTAAGAAAATGTCTCGGTATTTATTTGAACCAGGTTGTCTATGTCGCGATCTTTTACTAGCAAGGTAGACACGTAAAAATTAAAGAAAAAATAGTTTAATAATCAAATCACAGCTTTTTTACAGGAGACGCGTTCCTTTCGGATCTCTGCATGAATTTTAAAACACTCAGGTGCCTTTACCAGCCATTTTGTTGACTTCAATTCTTGAGGTTAATATCTGAATAATCCGGAAAACATTAATCTGAATCATCAGTTACAAAAATATCATCATCTGAATCATCTTTCAAATTAATTATTAGAGGGGCTACATCTTCTCGGTTAAACTTCACTTCTCTCTACGATCAATCTAAAATAACTTTGTTGGTATGCTCTACAGTGCGTTTCCATTGGGTGTATCTACATAAATGGCTTGTCACCAAATCTACACAATTTTCTCTGTCATAACCTTTCTCGCCAATGTGTCGGTTATAATTCACCATGTATTTTCGATGGGATTCAAAACGCAATAGCAGGGAGGCAAGGGTGGTACCAAATGTCAATTTTCTAATGCCATCTCATCAGCAGCATACCGTATTGAAGGTTTATTTCTCGTAGCGTCGTAGTGTTACTACGAATCAGACAAGCTGCATGTAATTTAAGGAAACAAACATTCTGCAGAAATTCCACTTTTAATGCATCATTTGGAAACATCTGTTGTTTGGTTGGGAAAGGAAGGGAAAATTTTTAGAAGAAAATTTGCGAGCCGTGCTTTGTGATAAAACAATTAGAGCACTTTTCCTCACTTATTGTACAGTGGAGGTCTCTTATCCTTAGTGAAACCACGAATGTTAAAGTTTAAGTCTTGTGGCTTAAATTTGGATATTGAAGTTGGATCCTCAATCATGGACTGAATTTTCAAGAGTGTGCTTCGAAATTATCCACCTTTGATTTAATGTTGTGGACAGTTGGACACTTGTCATAACCGTGGTACGAACAGAAAAAATTAGCATGAGAACTTTTATTTAAGTCGAAATTTGGGCTCGATTGTCACAGCATAGGACAATTAGAGATGAAGCAAATTTATTAGTAAAAATCAATCAATTAATCTGAAAGAAAGAAAAAAGAATGCACAGAATACACATACTACGCCACAGTACACAAGCAAAATATGTAAAATTGGCTCTTTGATAATGGAAAAACTTCTAGGTATTAACGGGTACTGAGAAAGGCTTCCCATAAGCGATAAACGCTCGAACTACACCATTCCGTAAAACTTTTTCGTAAGCGTACTACACGCTTCCGATTTGTTTTCACGAATATTGAACGCTCAACTACCGCTGATACACCAAAAATCCCAACCATCAAAAAGTCTTGTTTTACGTATTCATCAGCTGTTTAAAACAATGTTCCTTTCTTTTCAACTTCCGTCTCCCCTTCCTTAACAAGCGAATGCCTCGTTGAACGATAAACTGCATCTATGTTTTCTTATCTTGAAACTAATTAGCTTACGCCGCGATAACAAAACTTCTTATTTACGAGCAGAGATAAACTTTTACAAAACCTACACAATTATTTCCAGATGTTTAAATCTTATCTTTAAACACAATGAAGTTGAAGAAATAAATAAAACGCAAGATAATTATTTAAACAAAATTAACAACTAATAATTGTGATACAAAACAAAATTTATTGACCTCGAATTATCGAATCTTGTATCAAGTCTCAAATTGCAACCAACTTTTAACAATAAAAATAATTAAAATGCACATACATGGTCACAGGTTGTTCTAGTTACTGCAGTGTCGCAGCCAAATAAAACGTACGCATGGCGTAGTATACACAACAATAGATTAATGTGGATAAGAGGAATTCGTCTAAAATCTTTTTTAAGTTGGAGAAAATTGGCAGCATTCACCCTGTATAAATTTGAAATTGCTTATTATACCATAGGCTTAATTTTTTTGCAGAGGCAGAGATAGATTATCAATTTGCATGCTTTATTTGGTAGTGTCTGATGGGGATTTAAGTGTAGCACTGTAACTCAGTGGTTGCTTTTCCTCTTAGAAATTTGTTACATGCGTAATTTTCGTTGTAATTTGATCGCTTTTGTAAATTATGCAATTTAGGCAAGGTCCTACATCAGGTCGAATTTACGTTATTTTAAAAAAAATGTTAGATACCTTTGGTCGTTTGCGATAAGGGGTTTATTATCAGGAAAACGAGGCTGTTTCGTGACGATTAAAGAACGTATAAATTTGTTTACGCGAGATCTCCGGCAGTCAGCCCTACTTGTTTGGTTGAAGACGCAGTTCGTCATTTTTATAACAAATTTGTGCAGAAGCAAGATAACCAAAGGGGTGTGAAAAGGTTAACGCGTATTGTCCAATTACGGAGAAATTTTGTCTACAGGGTCATTCTTGACGAGCGTCAGTTAGAATGATATGGAAAACCTTTGAAAATGAAACTAAACTGATAAGCCCTTTAAGGGTTTTGGCACATGATGAATTGAACTAAAATATTTTCAAGATGGCGCCACTTCCAGAAATACCGGAAGTAGCAATCAACTTTGTTATTTTAAATAGGGACTCCTATTTTTTCTACATTTTCGGATTCTACGTCGAATTTGGAGTACAACGATACCCCATAGTTGACCCTTTGCTCCAAGGGCTTCGCCGATATTCCATTTTTTATGTCAAAAATTGAATTATTGCAGGGGTAATTTTAAAAATTTATTATTCGAAAACGGTGAGAGATATTGCAACACAATTTTCAGTGATTTATTAAAGAAAGATCGAATTTTCTTATGGTAACAGTCTAAAAAAGTGAGACTACGTCACTTTTTCAAAGCTCTCAACTTTTAAACTTTTAAATATCCGTAACTCCATTTTTTCAAACGGCACCCCCCATTTTGTTCTTCACCCTTGTTTTCCTTTTTCCCAGACCTTTAATTTGATACAAAATGTCAAAAGCTGTTTCAAACGGTTTCCGAGATATTCCATGTTTTACTTACTTCTTGTGGCAAATTCATAAAAAAATTAAGTCGCTTGATGTTATTCTTTTATTTTTATTATGATAATATTTAAACGTTAAATTTTCGCTGCTTGAACTTATGCTTCTCGTCAATAATGGCTCGGTTGGGGTACACTAATGAAGATTTTTTAATTTAATATTAATACACGTTGATTGTAATCGAATAGCGGTCAGGACTTGCCGTCTTTTTTCCGAAAGATACCCTGACAAGGCGCGACCCACAGAGGCTACAATTCGCAAAATATAAAAATTGCAGGAATAACGGTATGTTACAGACAAAAATACAAAAAAGGAAGCCTGTCCCTATTTAAAATAACAAAGTTGATGGCTACTTCCGGTATTTCCGGAAGTAGCGCCATCTTGAACATATTTTAGTTCAATTCATCATGTGCCATAACCCTTAAAGAACTTATCAGTTTATCTTCATTTTCAAAGGTTTTCCATATCTTTCTAACTGACGCTCGTCAAGAATGACCCTGTATTATAGTTGAAAAGGCAAGCAGTTGTGTAGTAGTAGTGCACAGCAAGCTCTTTTGTTAAGGTTCTCTTTTTATTAAAAGTTTCTACCGTCCGTACAACTACCGAAAATTTGTCATCGTTTATCAAGTTCAGTGTCATCAAGAATAAGTGAAGTTCAGAAGCTGTGTGAGTTAAATGCGCCTGAATATCGGAAGAAATTGTAAGTAATTTTAAGATTTATTTTAATTGTTAACCGTCTGCGTGCGGGGTAATATGTTCAAGCAAGCTTTGAAAGCTATTCTTTCTTTTAGGGAATTTGTTTTAGTTCTTCATGTGTTTTGGAATACATTTTCGTCATTGGCAATCAGTTGATTATGTCTTTACCCGAATCTATTGTGCGACCCCGATGCATTTAAGCAAAAGGCACATTCTATCGGCACTCGCAAGAGATTGCGGCGCTCTCATTGGGGTGCAATAG